TAGGCACCTTCCTCTGCCCCCCTCTCTAAACCCTAAACCCTAAACCCTAAACCCTAAACCCTTCTGTCTCCTACAACAACAAAAACCCTTATTTCTTTCTTTTTTTATGTTTTAATTTATATTTACTTTTTGCTGCTATTGAGGTGTACATACACCCCAACCCCTTTTTTTTTCTTTTTTTTTTTCTTTTTTCTCTCTCTCTTCTCTCTTCTTTCTTTCTTTCTTTCTCTGTTTATTTATTTATTTATTTATTTATTTATTTATTTATTTATTTATTTATTTATTTATTTATTTACAGTCTCCGCAACAAAGAAAACCAATACGCAGCACAAAAAAGAGAGCAGATATACAAGCCTCAATCCGGGAGAGAGCAGACGTAAGAAACCCTAAACCCTAGACCCTAAACCCTAAACCCTAAACCCTAAACCCTAAACCCTAAACCCTCGATACATTGATATCTGGTAGAGGTTTTATATGGTTTGAATCAGTTAAACTTAATCTCCCTTTTTCTCCTGTACCCCAAACCCTAAACCCTAAACCCTAACCCTAAACCCTAAACCCTAAACCCTAAACCCTAAACCCTGATGAGCTCTAACAAACATTAATAAACTGTAGCAAACCCTAGTGAGTGTTTATAAACCCTAATTTATCATAAACCCTAAACCCTCGCTTCTTACCTATGCGCCTCTAACCCTAACTCAGCTGCTGCAGGGAATGAAAGTCTAGGGTTTAGGGTTTAGGGTTTAGGGTTTAGGGTTTTTTGTTGTTTTTGCATCGCTGCAGAGACCTGTACCAGCGGGCTGTGTTTGGGCCATCTGCGTGGGGGCGGAGGTTGTGAGCTACAAACCCTAAACCCTAAACCCTAAACCCTAAACCCTAGATTTAAAACCCTAAACCCTAAACCCTAGATGTAAACCCTAAACCCTTAAATATTGCAGTTTGGATTCTCTTTTTAACGAAGGCGAAGGAAGAGGGTTTAGGGTTTAGGGTTTGTCTCAAAGAAGAGCCTCTAGGGTTTAGGGTTTGGGGTTTAGGGTTTAGGGTTTAGGGTTTAGGGTTTGTTGCAGTTGTTCCCGGAGCTACTAAAGGCTGTTCGCTGCCCCGAGATAATTCCGCCCAGCTTCCTCAAGTGAGGGTTTAGTGTTTAGGGTTTAGGGTTTAGGGTTTTGGGGGCAAAGGCCTAGGGTTTAGGGTTTAGGGTTTAGGGTTTGGGGGGTAGAGGCATAGGGTTTAGGGTTTAGGGTCTGGGTGTACAGAGTTTTTTTGCTCTCGCTTGCATATACAAGGGTTTAGGGTTGAGGGTTTAGGGTTTGGGCCTTAGGGTTTAGGGTTTAGGGTTTAGGGGTTTATTAAGCAGCACAGAGAGCGACCCTGATAGGCACTAAACCCCCCACGTAAAAAAAGGGTTTAGGGTTAGGGTTTAGGGTTTAGGGTTTAGGGTTTAGAGAAAAGGTTCACAGACACCGTATACAAATGCAGCAGCAGCAGCAGCACCAACAACAGCACCAACAGCAGCAACACCAGCAGCAGCAACAGCAGCAACAGCAGCAGCAGCAGCAGCAGCAGCAGCAGCAGCAGCAGCAGCAGCAGC